AGAAATGTTATAGGTCTTGGCCTGGCATCTAAGCTTACGTTATTTCGTAACGTAGTTTTACTATAGCATTTTTTCTGAAAGTTATACGTGATACACACTTAAGCAATCGTACCTCTTTTAATACATGACTGACGAGGCAGATCTTTTTTCCCCGCAGTAGATTGCCATTTCTTTGTGCGGTAGACCATTTGCCATCCAAGGCTACAGTCCTGCTATTTACCCATACCTGGACGTAGTAGATTCATACTTTTCCCCAATGGTATTAGCAGGTAATGAATTCAACTGGAATTCGAACTCGGCTCTCCGAGCCATCGATCCGAGCCGCTATCGATTACTCCACCGTGCGCCTTTCTTTAAAGAGATTTAAGTACACTACTAGATTGACACCTGGGTCTTGATATTTTACATTAATTTATTTGCGGAATATGAACATAGGTTTTATGCTAACAGTTTTTTTTTCTTTTGCCTGTAAAACTCTCTTATGACTTATTGCTTTCCAATCAAATTTAAATTTGAAAATTAGAAAATCAATATCCGTCATTGTCTTCTGTTTCCTTGTTCTTTTATTCTTCTCTCACCTTAATGTTTTATTCTCAGTTTTATTGCTTTACTTGGCAAAGTAATATATATATATATATATATATATATAAGGTTGGTGCAAAAATAATGAGTAATAATGTCGTTTTTGACGTTAAAAATACGTCAAAAAACGACAATATTACGTCATTATTTTCAACCATAATATATATATATATATATATATATATATATATATATATATATATATATATATATATATGAGAGAGAGAGCGTGTGCATGTGTATAAGTTTGTACAATTTTTGAAGCCATATGGCATCCACCGTATATAACCCAGAAAACAATGTTTGTCCTAATAACCGCTCCCCAGACTATTAATCGTAATTCAGTGAACTCTGATTTCTAAAATCTGTGCTATGCATAAATCTCGTTGTCCCGGCTCGACAGCGGAAATCTAGGGATGAACGGTAAGGCCATTGATGGCAACTGTATACCGGGAAGGTCAGACGGAGCTGATAGCCGGATCAGTTCGTTTCGGAACAAAGCGAACCTGGCATAGAGATGAAAGCCAGGTTATTGGCTGCAGCTCATAACACCGAAATAAGTGGGGGTAGAGAATGATAGATATGGAGAGAACTGCCAAGTGATAACCACTGACTCATGCCGACGCATGCGCTTTCACTCCATGAATGAAATAAACCAAAGCTTAGAATTTCCATACAGATTTTACTTACCTGAAATACGTCTTCTTTTTTTTTTTTTTTTTTTTTTTTTTTTTTTTTGCAATCTGCCAGTTTCTCTCATGACGTTGACAATCATGGCTCTCCTCAACTTCCTCTTTTGTTGCTCGCGTAACTTTTACTGTTTTACTGTCCCTCTTTCTCGAACAACTGGTTAAAAATGGCTTGGACTTAGTGAAACCTGTCGGTCTTGGCGAAGACAACAGTTGTTCGAACCTAATGGACTGGCGCTATATAATCTCAAACAAAGAACTCCAAAATAATATAAACGTCACTTGAGCACGTTCAAAAGCGGCAAAAGCTAAAAATAGATATCACGTGTTACACGAAGAGAAAATATTGACGTAATCAATGTTGACGTTCCACGCTCTTTCAAACAAAAGGTTAGAAAGGAAATCCCTCATTTCAATACTGGAAAGAGCGATAACAGCTACTGAACTTGCTTTACTGAAAACTTTAAGAAAAAAGTTTTATAAATTTCAATCGACAGCAGTACCGAGTGAAAAGTCAATGAATAATACATGTTTCCTCATGAGAAAATGGTTAATTTTACCATTAGTCTTGGTTCTGCAATTTCTTGGCTCACACAGTTTAATAGTAATTGCTGTTCTCTCCAGCGTCTGCAATCATTAATCTTCTGCGCAATTTGATAGCTTCCATATGTAATAGAAACTTCAGCTGACTCTTTTTTTTTATTGTATGACTGTTGTTATTCTTATTAAATATAAACTACAGTTAGTATTCTAAGCATTCATTAGCAGGAGTATCTCTGTCAGGGCGCCATACAGAATATATTATATAGATCTTTTCTAATGTTTTATTACTTTAGTTATATTCTGTATGGCATCATTTCTCTTACGGGTTCTAAAATTATCTGTGGAATTATTATCGTCTTAAAACCGGTAGTTATCTGTCAATGCATCGATTGTCGGGACGGATGTCGTCGTCGTCGTCCGCGGGTCGGCTGTCGGGATGGATGTCGTCGTCGTCGGCTGTCGGGACGGATGTCGTCGTCGTCGGCTGTCGGGACGGATGTCGTCGTCGTCGGCTGTCGGGACGGATGTCGTCGTCGTCGGCTGTCGGGACGGATGTCGTCGTCGTCGGCTGTCGGGACGGATGTCGTCGTCGTCGGCTGTCGGGACGGATGTCGTCGTCGTCCGCTGGTCGTCTGTCGGGACGGATGTCGTCGTCGTCGTCGTCCGCTGGTCGTCTGTCGGGACGGATGTCGTCGTCTGCGGGTCGGCTGTCGGGACGAATATTATATATCGTATATCAGTCTTATCACCCTTACCATTGATTCTAAGTATATTTTACTATTAAACATGTGCAGTGAATATTGCTGCCATATCTGATCTGTTTTTCTTGCTATAGACTTCGAAATTCTTGACATAACTAAGGTTCTTTATTGTAAGCAATCCTGACATCTCGAATTCAGTCACCGTCGCCCTAACGTGACTTGGCTTCGCTCTTTCTTTTCTATAAATATTTTGTTGGCTATGAGTTTTCCTCTTTCATGCCTCAACTTAATGAACTGAACCGTGCCACGAAATCGGCGTATGTTCTTTTGTAATAGTTCTTTTTATTGCCTGTAGGATTACCTTCCGATTTCATGCTTGTAAACTTTAAAGGTACTGGCAATATTCATCTAATATATTTCTAGAACCTGTTCTTTTATTGTTCCTTCTCCACATTGAAGACTTCTCATTCTCCTTCGTTCCTAGCAACGCCTTAACTAATGTAACTAATGACATTATCGGCTTGCTTTGGGTGAAATTATTAGAAGATATCATTTCTAAATGGATCTCCATTGAAATATATACCTGACTTATCGTAGATGATACTTAAATACATACTGCGCTGGACGCTATATCAGTGACTCGGAAGCCTGTTTCATCAGTGGCTTCATTTGAAAGATAGCCACATAACTACCGGTTTCACGTTCGTATATTCATGCAATACCTCCGATGTATAAACAGGTGGTCGACCCAGCTGCTCTTCGAATGTCAATGTGGGATAACCTGATGCTTGGTAGATATATAACCGCTCCACCCGAGAGGGAAAAGAGGTAGTCACATAAATCATATCTTTTCTTTTTTTTTTTTTTTTTTTTTAAATAAGTGGTTGTCAATAGCGGATCGGCATTGTAGGGCAATGTATACGATGAGTGAGAAACAGGAGACCCGCGTTCGAATTTTATCTGGATCGTTACATTCACTTACACCTAAATACCCTTGGGGAAGGTATGAAACCATCTCCTCTCGCTCCCTAGCTACTTGTTTAATAGCAGGAGAGACCGTCCTATAGTCTTGATTGCCAAAATGTCTCCCGCACAAAGCAACGGCAATCTGTTACAGGAATATCTTCTGCCGTGTCAGTTAAATATCAAAATGGATCTGACCCCGTAATCGTGTATCGTGCATAGCACTTAACTGGCTGACTAGTTGCAAATATAGATGAAGAGACCAGGGGAGCAAGCGACGAAAGTTTCAAGGAAAATCCCAACTAAAACAACAGTTGTAATTAGAATCTGAAAGACATATTTACTATCAGGGAGGGATGCTGTAGCTACAAAACGGAAAATGCGGTCATTAATAAGACTTGAAATTAATGTAGGCAAGATTTCACAGTTCTAGCATCACTCCTTCATAGTCAGTCAATGAACATTTCAGCATACCCTCGTACCAGGAAAGGAGAAAATGCAGTTATTAATGAGAAGAATTTAAAATCAATGCATGCAAGATTTCACAGTTCTAGCATCACTGTTTCATGGTCAGTTTATGAACTTTTCAGCTCCCCTTCGTATATCTAGACCGGATATACTTGGAGAATTTTCACCTAAATTCGAATGGATATACGACAGTTCATACTCCTAACTTGAAAAATGTATTAAAAATTAAAACCAACATTTTTAGTCGATTTCACTCAAGCATGTTCGAGGCATATATATATATATATATATATATATATATACAGAGAGAGAGAGAGAGATAGTTTGTGTGCGTGTAGAATATATCCCTAAGGTTATAGAAGCACTGATGCCAGTGTTTTTGTCTCCTCCAATAAATTGCTGATATTCAAAATGCTGTATCACGTTTCCTGTTTGGGGTCTAAAACTGTCCGTTTTCGCCTGAGGAATCAACACTTGTTTACTTTTTTCTATTTGTTCCCTTTCCTCCTTTTAAATTTGTTTTTTTTTTTTTTTTTTTTCATGCCCTCTGATTCCTTTAGATCAAATATCTTTTTACCAAATCTTTCTCTCCAAAACAAATTCGCCGTCCTCTTTGCTATTCATCGATTATAAAACTATTTCCCCCAGTTCGCAGAACACTTCGAAATTAATGCATATTTTCACTGTAATTACAGGGTACAGGAGATATTTGAGGCCACATTGAAAACCCTCGTAACAGTAACCGCATCTTAGAAACGACTAAAATTTTTGATCCATTCGGTTGGATTACATGTTTATTCGATGTGACTGCCTTCAGCCGCAGTAATGTTTTCATTAAGGGACCGGAATATGCGCGCATCACATGAAAACGTTACTCGGGTCATAGCGGCTTTCAGGGAAACGTTGATTAGTCTGCGATTCAACAACGTCCCACATGCAATCGTCAATGGGATTCCGGGTTGTCGAGTTAGTTAGCCACATGTTTGGTGTGATGCGGTCCTGCAGATTAGTCACCATATAATCATGGGTCGCCGCAACTTTGGGCTCAGAAGTCATGCTGACAAAAAACGAAAACATACGGCATTTCCATCGCAAACGATATCTATCTTGGGCTTCAAAACTGTTTCAAGCAACTCATTGTAGTGGGAATCATTCAATCGAGGACCATGTTGAAAGAAACGTGGTAGAATTATATGCCTTTCACTACTCCTCCATTTTGTTTACCGTGTCCCTTCAGGACATAGGCGATCATGGCCATCCACATCTTCCTGTCCCTTTGTAGCTTTTAATAAATGTTGTCTTTTTCTTATTTCTCCCAAACCCTGTTCTATCCGCCATTTGCTCAAGCTGATCAAGTATGTTACAGGTTGCTTTCTTCTGTCCCTCTTTCTCTCAATCTGTCCTGTGAGTGTCAGGTTTTCCCAGCCCTCCTTCCTCATTAAGTGCCCCAGAAATTTCGCCCACTCTTTCATGATTAGTATACGTTTCCTTTTTTCTTTCTATTTTCTTCAAAAACACGTCAGTATCTTTCTGTAGAACCGCTACTCACCATTCCGAAAACCCATCACAGAAGCTGGTGAGCATAAAATAGACATCTCAAGGGTCCGCATTTAGCCAACTATGATTTCTCTGGTTCACGTGTTGACCCTGGTCGAAATTTATTTTTCGTCTGAAGACCAGAACGTGCCAGGTTTTGTGGATGTTTGAATTTAGTCAATTGTGGATGTTTGAATTTAGTCAATTGTGGATGTTTGAATTTAGTCAATTGTGGATGTTTGAATTTAGTCAATTGTGGATGTTTGAATTTAGTCAATTGTGGATGTTTGAATTTAGTCAATTGTGGATGTTTGAATTTAGTCAATTGTGGATGTTTGAATTTAGTCAATTGTGGATGTTTGAATTTAGTCAATTGTGGATGTTTGAATTTAGTCAATAATCCTTTTCTTCGGAGCAACCTTAGTTGTTGTCGTTTTGTTATTGTTGTTGTCGCGTCAACATGAACTGCCTTTTCCTCCTTACGCATGACTCGTTCTGAATGTCCTCATGCATCACATTATGGAATGCGTCCTCGGAAACCTGGATCTCTCTGACAATGGTCCTTATGGACCTTCCGGGATTATCATGGATAATGTTGTGCGCCCGCTATACGAATTGTGGTGTTCTGATGCTGTCCGAACGCTGCGAATGCATTTTTTTTTTTTTTTTTTTTTTTTTCGGCGCTTCGCTACTAGCGACACATTCCCGAATATTGACACGAGTGATCTGGCGTCTTCAAAAAAGAAAGAAAAACAAAACCCCGGCAATATTAACAATTACACGTTTCATCTCTTGCGTTATCTTATTATTCTCCATTGATGCTCCGAGAAGATAAAAGCGGATCAACTGAAGGTAGAGGATGAATGTACGATATTGTATGAGCGTAAAAGAATTTCAAGGTGTGTAGTTCATGAGGTTACGTAGGAAAAGTAACAGTTAATCCTAGATTTGAAGCGGCCAGGATTGTAGTGCCCGCGAAAGCGTTCTGTCGCGTCTCTGTTTAACAAAGCAGCAGTCTTTGAGAAGGGGCTGCCCCAGTGGACTACGAAGAGAATGAAAATAATTCGTGTCCATGTACGTGGCATGGTGAATCTTCGCTGCAAAAATCGGAACTTGTGGAACTAAGAAATCTACTGCGTCAGAACATTTGCCATGGATATAGCGATACAGTAGCGAAAATCTTGTGACCTTTCCTCCATGGGAAAGGTCTTGTTGAGTGGAAAATAATTTATCACCCACAAGGCTGCGTAGGCGCTTTTGTACCTTGAGGCAAGCAAGTGAAGGTTGTATATCTTCAGCCCAGATATGGCAGCAATGCTTTATTTTTGGATAGACGATGATGCCATTTGCGGAATCATTCTTGGAATGTAGCCACGTTTTGCTTTTAAACACGTTTAGTTATTAGTATTAGTAATTTTATAATCTTCCAATAAAACACAGTAAAATTAAGCGGTTAATTTTTCTGATAATTTATGCAAGTTTTTTATGGTCTATATTACATTCACGCAACAATGATAAATAAAAGGACAATATATCAATTAGTCACTGTGTCCAAATGAGTCTACATGTTAGTCAGAGTAGCAGGCGGGTGAAAGAGCATGAGTAGCAGTCGTTAAAACATGTCATACGAAATCTGTGAACAGAGGATGACAGTGCACAAAAAAAAATATTTGTAAATCTCTACTTCTGAAATAGAACATTTTGTATTCGCATTTTATCTGTTATTTTCCGCCTTTTTTTTCCATTTTTGGACGAGTTCAATTTCTCTTTCTCTCGCTCGCTCTCTTTCTCTCTCTTTTTTTTATTCTGTCTCTCTCTCTTTTTTATTGTCTCTCGCTCTTTTTTTATTCTGTCTCTCTCTCTTTTTTTTATTCTGTCTCTCTCTTTTTTTTATTTTGTCTGTCTCTCTTTTTTTATTCTGTCTCTCTCTCTCTTTTTATTCTGTCTCTCTTTTTTATTCTGTCTCTTTTTTTTATTCTGTCTCTCTCTTTTTATTCTGTCTCTCTCTCTCTTTTTATTCTGTCTCTCTCTCTCTTTTTATTCTGTCTCTCTCTCTCTTTTTATTCTGTCTCTCTCTCTCTTTTTATTCTGTCTCTCTCGCTCTTTTTATTCTGTCTCTCTCTCTCTTTTTTTTTCTCTCTCTCTCTCTTTTTTATTCTGTCTCTCTCTCTTTTTTTATTCTGTCTCTCTCTCTTTTTTTATTCTGTCTCTCTCTCTTTTTTTATTCTGTCTCTCTCTCTTTTTTTATTCTGTCTCTCTCTCTCTTTTTATTCTGTCTCTCTCTCTTTTTTTATTCTGTCTCTCTCTCTCTTTTTATTCTGTCTCTCTCTCTCTTTTTATTCTGTCTCTCTCGCTTTTTTTATTCTGTCTCTCTCTCTCTTTTTATTCTGTCTCTCTCTCTTTTTTTATTCTGTCTCTCTCTCTTTTTATATTCTGTCTCTCTCTCTTTTTATTCTGTCTCTCTCTTTTTTTTATTCTGTCTCTCTCTCTTTTTATTCTCTCTCTTTTTTTATTCTCTCTCTCTCTCCTTTTTTATTCTCTCTCTCTCTCCTTATATCTAATATACACACACACACATACTGCAGTTACTTCTGATAATTTGTACCGCACGCAATCTAAAATAGCCATACATTGACCGATTGTAACTATATTTCAGGAAGAAGTGCTAACAATTAAAGGGGTACATAGTACAGCTGGTTTTTCTAGTGTGTGTAAAAACGGCAAAGTAGCGAATATGTCAAAATATTTTTTCAAAGCAAATCGGTTTATTCAAATTTAATCGATCGGTTTGCCAAATTGAACGAAACGTAAAGTTTATAAATCCCGACAAAAATGTTAACGATGACTTCAACAACTGTTGACTTATCTTAATGACAATCTACCAGGAAGAGGAGTCGAGCATACCAGTGATAATGACAATGTGCTGTTAAAATGGCTACCGCGTTCACATGACTTGGCACCTTCTAATTTTTTTTCTATGGGGTTATGTGAAAGCACTTGTCTTTACTTAGGTACCTCCACAAAATCGCTAAAAAAAGAGCATAGCTTGATGAAAAAGACGCCAAACTTGCCGAAAACTAAATTTTATTGTCTAAATGCTTATGCGTTATTATTAAGAGGAAAGACCTCTTTTTTTTTTTTTTTAATTATTTTTAAAAATTTTCCTTCTTTTTAGAAGATTCTAAATTTTGATTAAAAAAACCTTTTTTCTATTTGTATCAGCGGAACTAGTAAATAACATAGACAATTTTTAGCACGATTTTTGGTATGACACACATTAATTTGAAAAATCGTGCAAAAATAGAAATAATTATCGGATGTTAATGAAACTTCCAGGAACTATTCACAGATGATCGAAATTATTATAAATATGTTTTTTTTTTATGAAAGTCATGGTAGAAATATTTTTTTAAAAATATTTATTACCCCCTCCCATAACTAATTTTATGAAAACGCTAGAAATTCGATCGCATCGGTTTTAGTGATTACAATAATTAAAAGCACAGGGCTTTGAGGAATGCAAATCATGTTTTTTTTTTGTTTTTAATTGGATACCCAATACCTGAAAATCAGCTCTGAATTGTAACATACAAAACTCAATAAAACAAAGGTATTATTTAATTTCAAATGCTTTTATTTGCTTTTAGTTGTTTTTATGAATATGGACAATATTTTCTGAAAGCCAAAAAATTTTTTCGATGAAAAATGAATTTTTAATACAATTATTTGTTATTTCATTAATTATAATAGATTTTACATTTAAGTTGTTAAAATATTATAAAATTAGTTAAAAGCCGCATCGGCTTTCATAAGTGTCCTTATGAGATAGATCTTTTTTTAACGCGTTGTAAATTGTATCATTTTGACTAATCAGAAGATCCCCAGTAATTAAGAAATGTAATTTTGTGCTTATAATCGAGCTGTAATTATAAAATACGGAAGACCAACCAGAATATAATTAAGTTGCGTTATTTGAGTTAAGCTTTGTTCTCCGCTGTTAAAGGCCTTTACTTTTGCGAAACACGTGTGGAGAAGTTAATTTGATTTTTCAATTTCAACTTAGAAGGTATCAGTATCATCTTATGAAATTTATATGATCTTATTTTTATATTAATCTCAGTTACATTTTTCCATAAATGAAATATCACAATTAATAATAAAATGAATGCAAATATAAATAACAGTAGAATGTAATAAATGTACATAAAATTATAGTATTTTATGTACAATTCTGATAAAATTTCATAAGAAAAGGTACCTATAAATTAATTAGATACTTTTCTTAAGAAATATGAAATTTAATGTCACTCTTAACAGTTTTATTTTAATTTCTTTACAATATATTTCCCATAAAGCATCATAAACGTAAAGGTGAAAGCTAAGTACAAAAAAAAAAAAATAGACCGCTGAAAGTTTTCGTTAAAAATAACGGGGTAAATAATTTGTTCACGTAAATGTAAATTATTTCATTTTTTCTCCTTCCGTAGAACAAATTAGCCTCATGGAATTCGTAAATATATCATTCATCACATGTCAAGAGACGCGAAAGTTTATGACCTGCTTTTTTTTTATTTTCAAATTACATCTTTTTGGCACAAAAGCTAAGTTAAGTTTGGTTCAAAATATTTTAAATAAACATTATAATTTCTGATTTTCTTAAAATAAATTTTAAAAAAAATGATAATTGATATTTAAAAAATTTCAAAGTCAGATTTCCATTTTTTTTAAAATGGAAAAAAAATGGTCAATTTTGCTGACTCAAAAAAAAACTAGATTTTTAACGAAAATTTCGGACGTGCTAGGAACGATTAAAAATGGAAAAAAATACCCCAAAAATACTTTGACCTTTCCTCTTAATAATAACAAGCATTTAGACGATAAAATTTTGTTTTCGTCAAGTTTGGCGTCTTTTTCATCATGCTATGCTCTTTTTTTAGCGATCTCGTGGAGGTACCTAACTTTACTCTCCTCTACGACGTTAGAGGAACCTAAACATAATCACCGACTGAATGGAAAATGTTACCCAAGACATTCTACAGCATGTTTGGCAGGAGCTGGACTACCAACTTGTCGTGTCACAGACCGTGCGCATTTTGAACATTTGCGAAGCTTTGTGAAATCGGTTATAAGATCTACATCGCTTTGATTATCTTGTTTGAATTTTGATAAATCTTATTGTTCAACACGAAGTCTTTAATTTCGTTTGCCTGGGATATGTAGCTACTCTGATGTTCACATTTTAAATGTCAATTATACAAAATCTTTCTCGCCATCGTCTTTATCTAACGTAACATAAATCTATCCTTTCTTGACTAATTTAATTTTCTTTTCCACGCCTTTCTTCCTGGTATTGGCCATCATAAAGAAAGGATAGTAAATATGACTTTTCTTGCCCAGCCCTCGTCTGTGGTGTCTTAATTATATTAATGAGAATCATCATAAATTAGTTTCATTCGATTGCACCTGCGGCTGATTGGTTGATGTGTTTTAAAGGAGTCTTGTTTACTCAGTCCTCTCACAAATTTAATTGGTGCTAATCGAATACGTTACGATTAAATTAAACGCATTCTGAGCAAATATTCATACCTTTCGCTGCATTCTTTGCATCTCGACCTCATTTTTTTCTCTGCCCTCTTTGTCGGTTTTTAGTTTCTCGTCTTTCTTTTTCCTACTCGTCTTTCGTTTTTACTTTATCTGTTTGATTACACTTCTCATTTATTCCTCTCTTTAGGTTTCTTATTATTGGTCTCTGTTTTTTTTCTCTCTCCCCCTTCCGTTGAAATTTTCGTTTTTCTTCTTCCTTTTCTGTTCTTCTTCTTTTCTTTTTCTTTCTTTTTTTCTTTTTCTTCTTCTTTCTGTTTTTCTTCTTTCTGTTTTTTTCTTAAAAAAAAAAATTTCATTTTTTTCTTTTCTTTCTTCTTCTTTCTGTTTCTTTCTTTTTCTTTCTTCTTCTTTTCTTTCTTCTTTTTTCTTTCTTCTGGTTTCTTTTTCTTTTCTTAAATTTTTTCTTTCTTTTTTTCTTTCTTCTTTATTTTCTTCTTTCTGTTTCTTCTTTCTTTTCTTCTTCTTCTTTCTTTCTTCTAAGGAGTTTCTGAAAAAATTATTTCTTCTTCTTCTTTTTTTTTTCTTCTTTTTTTCTCTTTCTTCTTTCTTTTCTTTCTTTTTTAAAAGAATTTTTTCTTTTCTTTCTTTTTTTTCTTCTTCTTCTTCTTCTTTTTTTCTTCTTTTTTTTTTCTTCTTTTTTCTTTTCTTTTCTTCTTTTTTTCTTTTCTTTCAGCATTTCTTTTCTTCCTTTTTCTTTCTTTTTCTTCTTTATTTCCTTCTTCTTTCTTCCTTCTTTTCTTTCTTTCTTTTTTTTCTTTCTTTTTTTTTTTTTCTTTTTTTCTTCTTCTTTCTTCTTTCTTATTCCTTTGTTTCTTCTTTTTTTTTCTCTTTCTTCTTCTTTTTCTTTTTTCTTCTTTTTCCTTTTCTTTTTCTTTTTTCTTCTTCTTTTTCCTTCTCTTTTTCTTTTTCTTTTTTCTTTTTTCTTTCTTTTCTTTCTTTCTTTCTTTCTTTTCTTTTTCTTTCTTTCTTTCTTTCTTTTTTTTCTTTTTTTTCTTTTTTTTTTTCTTTCTTTTCTTTTTTTTTCTTTTCTTTCTTCTTCTTCTTTTTTTTTTTTCTTCTTTCTTTTTTCTTCTTCTTTTCTTCTTTCTTTTTCTTCTTAATTCTTTCTTTCTTTTCTTTTTCTTTCTTTCTTCTTTTTTCTTTCTTCTTTTTCTTTTTTCTTCTTCTTTTTCTTTTTCTTCTTTCTTCTTCAAAATTTCTTTCTTTCTTCTTCTTTCTTTTTCTTTTCTTTTTTCTTTCTTTTTTCTTTCTTCTTTCTTCTTTTTCTTTTCTTTCTTCTTTCTTTCTTTCTTCTTCAAATTTTTCTTCTTCTTCTTTCTTTCTTTTTTTCTTTTCTTTCAAAAAAATTTCTTCTTTCTTTCTTTCTTTCTTTCTTCTTCTTTCTTCTTTTTTCTTTTCTTCTTCTTTCTTTTTTTTTTCTTTCTTCTTTCTTTCTTTCTTTCTTTCTTCTTTTTTTTGAAAATTGTTTTCCATATTCTTCTTTCTTTCTTTTTCTTCGTTTTCTTTCTTCTTCTTCTTCAAAAAATTGTTTTCCGACGATTATAAAAAGAACTTTCGCTAGTTCGAAGACTGCATCTATGAATTTAAAAATTTTTAAGGAAAAATCTACTAGGTTGGCATCAGTGATCCCACCCTTTCACTGTCAAAACGGTTAAATTTGAACCGTCATTCGTTACGGATATTCTTAGGCTCTTTTCTCCAATAGCTTCATATCTACTCCAATAGACTTCCCCTCCTCCTTCCGTTGGCCTCTAAAAGGACGTTTTCAGGGCGTACGACCCCTCTTTGTTTTCTTCTGTGGAATTTCCTTCCTATTACATTTTGAAAAATAAATTTTAATTCGCTGAAAAAAAAAAAATTACAAAAAAAATTCAAATGTAATGTCAATCGACATCTCCAGATGCCCTGACCTATTATTCCCTGTCCTTCTCTTCATCCTTTCCACCATCACGCCTCTTTACTCTTGCTACCACTCTGTAACCCCTTGCGTACTAGTGGCATCCCGCCTTGCTTTGGGTGAATTGCTTTAAAAAAAATACATTTTGAAAAAAAAATTATCAGCAATAAAATTTTGTCAGCATTAAATAACCCATTGAGGTTGATATGCCCCAAACCAAACTTATTACCTTTGCAAAAAAATACATTTTGAAAAAAGCCCAATAAAATTTTGTCATAAATATCCATTGTGTTGATATGCCCCAAAACAAACTTATTACCAGTAGCCCAAAGTGCCATATTACCAGTAGCCCAAAGTGCCATATTACCAGCCCAAAGTGCCATAAAGTAGCCCAAAGTGCCATATTACCAGTAGCCCAAAAAGTGCCATATTACCAGTAGCCCAAAGTGCCATATTACCAGTAGCCCAAAGTGCCATATTACCAGTAGCCCAAAGTGCCATATTACCAGTAGCCCAAAGTGCCATATTACCAGTAGCCCAAAGTGCCATATTACCAGTAGCCCAAAGTGCCATTTCTTGTGAATGTACAGGTAATGTAACGACCCAGGTCAAGAATTCGGCGGGCAGAGTTCGTTTCGCTCACTTTTTTTCCTAAATAGGATTGCGATAAAAAAAAAAGATGATTACTCTACCCACACAGTTTTTGTGTATGCATGAACCTATCGATCTATGTCCCAATGACAAAAAGTATTTAACTGGCAACAAGCAATATTTCAAGGTAGTCCCCATGGTTTTCCCCTAAGATTTTTATTGTTGATGTATCTTCTCCGTTAATTACAGGAAATTATACAGTATAAATTTCATTTGGAATTTCGACAAATATGAATAAGACAGCAGAAATATTGATCCACTTCATAAACAGACGATGGAAGATCAATACGATATAGTTTTAAATGAATTTTGAGCCGTGTGTATATTAATAAGGGATTAAGAGTAAGAAGACAATACTGACAAGTTATGCAAAATGATTTTGCTTGGATTTATTATATCAAAAGTTTGTAGTGGCTACTCGTACATGAGTAGACGTTCCGTTATTTTTAAATAGTTTATATTTCGTTTTTCGGCTTCCCAACTCCAGAAAAAATAGTAAAAAAATGCCCCCATCGTCAGGTGCCGAGGACTCAGTAGCTTTCTTTATTAGTTTTTCCTTTCTTTTTTTGTTTGATTTCAACGAACACTCGTTGCCACTTATGTCAACGAATACACGTTGTCATTTTCGTAATGCCCGTTGTAGTAGACTTTTTAATCGCAAATACAACTATAGTAACGCTGTTGAACAATACTGGTGTCAGATGCCTTCGAATAACACTCGCACTAATAGTACTTGCTCGATAATACTCACTCGAATAGTAACCACTGAATAGTGATCCGAATAGTAATTCGTATAGTGGGATATTCACTAACCGCCCCACGCGGTCAGATGAGACGCAAGGCCAAATTTATTGTGGGGTAACCGAGCCTGTAGACCCCGTGAAAACGTGGTCAGGTAGCTGTCTACAAATGAGTACAAAAATATATACAAGAAACTAAACAAAATTGTGTTAGTAATAAAACCCCAACAGCCCTGTAGCAGAAACATCAGTTAACTGGACAAAATCAATACGGGACTTTCAAAATTCGTACATGCCATACATTCACTACAAGCATACACTCATTCAAACAGCAATTACGAAAATCACACCCGAAACGAAAGACGACCCGCACCCACGAGAGAACTGATATCATTATCCACCTAAAGATGGGGGGGATAGGGAATTAAACAAAAGAAAGAGAAACTAAAAAAAAAACGACCTACACTATTACGGGAAGGGTCGCCAATGTTCTACTCAACAATCCCAATATTCTTAATGCCTAACCTGCATCGAAATGCCACTCTAAGTTAGCACCTTTCAAATTCTAATGGATGGAGTCTTTTTCTGTCCGTCCTAATCTTGACTTATGGAGACAGCTGACAACCTTGACAAATGGAGCGAGACAAGATGAAAAAGTTTCGATCTTAACCCATTCACTTCTACCAGCACACCGGGGGACACATACAGCAGTCGAATCCAAGTGAGAAAGTCGGGCTCAAACCGGCAGCCGAAAGGATAGTCTCCAGAAATTGATGGTCAACCCTATCGAATGCCTTGGACTGATCTAAATTGATCAGCGCGGCATCACTGTCGACTTGCTCGATGATCACGCGTACCAAATGAAGTTTGTCCTGAATAGTCCTATCCTTCACAGCACAAGTCTGCTCGGGACCAATCAGACTACAGAGGACAGCCGACAAACAGCCGGCGAAGACTTTGGCTAAAATTTTTAACTCTGTTTAACATCGTCAAATTATCTAACCCATCCCCACCGTTTTTGTTCTTACAAAGCAACTTTTTCATTCCCCTGGTGAAGGGTTGAGGTTAGACCACTGCTTCATTCAGTTGTTGAAAATCAGCAAGGGAACAAAGACGGGCGACTGCCTCAAGTACATTTCGTAAAGAAGACCATCTAATCCCAGAATCTTGTCCAGGCCAAGCTGCTCCAGCTCATCCCAGAATTCTGACTCTGTACTGGGACACTCACACCTTGTTGCTTCAGCAGTCTCGAAGCTGGGTAAGTCGTCTAAATAGGCATCGAACTGAGCAGCGCTCAGACCGGGCTGCCTGGTAAACAGCTCCTAAAAGTTGTCACGGATAGCCTCACAAATGCCAAAGTCTGCTAAATTGAGTTGACGACTAAATTCAGCAGCAAAAGAACTAAGTTTGGATTTGAGAGAATTCCACTAATTCACTTCCCAAACACCCCCCGATAATCCCCGCTGTAGCATTAGTAGTTAAAGAAGACTCGCGCCAAAAATTAGCTCAGCGAACGGCAGTGGAAGTACCGAGAGCCAGTAAAGAAAGATTGGGTTGATGTGCGAGGCATAAACTTCCGCCCTCTTCTTCAAGGAAAGCCTCCTCCGAGCCCACAGACTAGCCCAGATATCTCACGGAAAATGTTAATATAAGTGCTCTATATAAGGAGGGGTGAACAAAAACTGGGACTTACCCCGAGCAGAATTGATGTAACTTTTGGTCCTCTTCGGACTCCCGGACTGCAATTGGTGGTGTAAGTTCAATTCCTTTGATTACTTCTTTCACCATTTCCCATGTATCCCGCGACCCAGAACCAGTTCTGATCACGGTGAGGACCCGATGAACCCCCGGAAAGTTTCGCAGGTCCTCTGTGTCCTTGTCTCCTAATTTCTGCATGGCAAGCAGATGCTTCACCGCGTGTATCCTGTCCCCATAGTTATTGGCACGCTCAACTTGGCTCGGAGTTACACGGCAAACATCTTTTTCCGGTGTTGTATGGTAATTTAGCCCTACGCCTTTTCTCCTTAGTTTCCACTGATGGGCTTCTTTGCCTCCTTTTAGGAGGTTTGGGATGTTGGCGTAGAAGGTGCAGGACATTGGGAAAGAGTGGAAGATTGCGATGCAGAGAAAGTGGGAACCTTTTTAAAGGGGACACATTCACAGGGGTTGGGGTCTGCGATCTAGCTGTTTTCTCGATTGACAGGGAAATTTGGGCAGAGGCTGAGGGGCATGGTACCCCACTGATCCTATATCATCTTTCCCAGAGGATGTGGGCGCCTTTTTCAAGATGGTCATCTTTGTTGGAGTTCAGGTCAATGAACGAGTCATTGGAGGGTGGGGCTAATATTTTTTAGGGGAGAGGATGGCACTGAGGCCGAGAGACGCGATGCACCCACTAGTCTAGGCAGTTTTTCTAAGTTTTTTGTTCTATTCCTTAATTTCCAGGTACTTCTCATAACCTGGGTCAAATCTCTGACTGCTCGTGCAGCATTGAGCATAACTAGCAAGAGTCTCACCCTTGGGAATGGTACTGGTATTTTCCTTGCTCTTGGGGGCTTCCGGAGACAGATCCCGTAGCTTGGACCCACGTCTTGCCCTTCCTGTTTGTCTTTCGCTTTCTTTTTGGCAGGGAATGTGGGATTTTGAAGAGATCCAACCGGGGCTTTTTCAGTCGCAGATAGGCCTATTGCAGGCCCAACGGAATAAGAACTATCATCTCGAGTGGGGATCGGACTTAGGCGAGACTCCAGAAGCCGCCGCCTTTGGGTAGAAACGGGCAAGGTGACCAATCTCGCCACACTTCCAAGAAGCTTGTTTCCTCCACGTCACGATGACAGGGTAGTGTTTCCAGTCCATCTCCAAGCTGTTGGGAATGGAGGTGAAGGCTTTTCAATCAATCATTATCTCGAACCCCCACTCACATATCTCATACTCTGGAGTAACATTAACAATCTGACCATACTGCATGAGATATGCTCAAAGAATATAATCAGGGATCCCATACATTGTCACCTTGGTCCTGCGCTGTTCTTGGTATTCAGTGCGAATTATGTAGTCTTTCGGGATCAAATCACGAGACGTTACATCCACATAATCCTCTGGCGTGAACAACAGTATGCCCTACATGAAAAAAACCTTGTCCCTTAATAATCTGTTATGGTTTAACCCCCT